CTCTGGAAGGCAGTTCTCAATCTCCATCCTGTGCAATAGACCCTACCCTACTCACCCTGCTAGGGTGAAGTCCTTTGCCCCTCCAAAAGCAAGAAAGCAGTACATCACCCTTCCCAGATCACACAAGACTCTTTCAGTGATCACACTGATGCCTGGCTGCCAAGGAGGATTTTACAGTTGTTCCAGCAATGAAAGACAAGAACAAATGGCCTTCTCTATTTATGAGTTCCCAACTTCTAAATTTGTGTGTTCCAGGGTGATGCCAACCGCTCATACTCAGATGAAGATCAGAGTTCATCAAACATGGAGGAGTTAGATCAGTTCCAAGAAGTCCCAGAAGGCTCAGGTACAACAGCTCAAATAACTTAATTTGCTTATCTCAAATGGCTGTTTAGCGAGAAATCTGAAAGGAGATTCTGCAGAAAATTCATTCCCATCTCCAAGAACTTATTTTGAACTTTATGCTAGTTTGTCATGTTATCTGCAGAAAAACAGAACCCTGTTTGCATCCTGAGAAATGTGATAGCTAAGGGGAGCAGTTCTTGAATGACCTACAGAAAAGCAAATAGGAGTGAAAAGTGAGACTGTCACTGCTTAGCTTCAGGACACACAAATCTGAGACCCACATTTGGATAGGGGATACCAAGACATTGAAAAGGACTTGGACAAATCTGGAAGTCTTTCCTCATAGCAAGAGGCTAATGAAGCTTAGAGAAACCAGAGAAGTGACTTGATGACACACTGTAAGTGCCAACCGTAAGGAGAGACTTCTGATGGTAGACGGCTCTTTAATTGAGCAGAAAAAAAGCATAATGAGATTGTAAAGGTTGGAAGCTGAAGTCAGACAAATTCAGACTGAAAAAAATCCATGTATTTTTAAGGAAAGATAATTAACTGTTGGAAGAGTCTGGCTACAAACTGCCAGGTAAGGTCTCCACCCCTCGAAGTCTTTCCTTGAAGACTGCAAGTCTTTCTACAAGAGCTAGTATACTTCAGACAGAATTTGGTAGAAGGGAGCAGCAAAAGTAGCTTGCTCCACAATAGATGGTAAGCCAGGAGCTGAGAGGAAGGGACCACACTGAAAAAGGCACAGTGCATGCACAAGGTGAACAGAGCAGGTCCACTGATATTAGCCAGGGTCAGCCAATGGTTCAGTGTTTGCCAGGCAAGTCCACAGTGATGAGGCAGATCTGTGGTCAAGCCAAGAAGTCCAGTCAGCAAGACAAGATCAGGATAAACAAGGTGAAAGGACAGGCACAAACATACTCACAGCATAACCCAGACAAGGACACAGGCACAGGTCGGAGCTTAAGCGCAGCTCCCACAGCAAGGAGCAGCGGCTCTAGTATTGGCTTGTTACAGCTCTTTTTCTGCAACTTAGCTGTTTTCACAGCAGTCTGATCCTGGGTTACTGGCTGCACTGTATCAGAGCTTACCTTGAATGTAGGCAGCCAAACCCCTAGGAGGGCAGATGGGGAAAGCATTACGGAGCCTGTTGGTGCACTCTGGGCTATGACGCTGCATGCAGGCGAGGATCTCTGACCTTCATTATGCAACAGGTCAAACGAGTTATTGTTGCAATCCTTTCAGACGTTAAAATCTAGTACCCCATCCTCTCCATCCATCTTGAGAAATGCTGGTGGTCATCCACAGCACCTAACATACCCCTTAAAGGTGTCCTGGATCTTCAAGTTCAACGATCAGTCATTTGAAGAGGCCCCGTGTAGTAGGATAGGCTGGGGTGAAGAGTAGGATTTAAAGGTGACCCCAATACATGGATGGTTGTGGGTCTCCCCATGTCTTAGTCTCTTCCTCAGTGGCTCAGCTTAACTGCTTTAAATAGCTGGTCTGACAGTTGGTGGTATTTGTTCAGACCTGAAGATGCAGGTGTAAGTTCTTGGCATGCAGAAGCGTACTCTCCTCCCCTTGCTTCCAGGATTTGGCTTCTCGCTCAGCCTGAGTCTGCCTGACCAGTACTCTTCTCATCTGTCTGGCCCCAAGGAGAGCTGCCATCAGTTTTGGGGACTGAGGAGAATACTTCAAAGTCTTCCCAGCTTACACTGCTTTTGCCACAACATCCTAAATCAGAAGGAATCAATGTTGACTGATGTTAAACAGCTAATATTCTGTTAGCTGCTGCTAGCATGCTTAACAGCTTAGACATCAAAACAGTCACTGGATTGTGAGGAACCCACCTTCTTTTTTTTTTTTTTTTTTTTCTTCTTCTTCTTTCTGCATCTTTCCACCCAGATCACAAGATCTGTGCAATTTCTGTGACACCTAATGGACACCTGGACCCATCGTTGCCCTCTTCCAACCCACCAGTGGCTGCTGGGGGGGTCACCAACTCGTCACGCAACTCCCTGCAGCCTGACCAGATCCGTGTTGCTGTTGGTTCCCGGAAGAGCAGTGTGATGTCCCTGGGGAGAATGACCTATGACCAGCGGTCCTTGGTGAGTGAGTGAGTAGAAAGGTGTGTCATACCCTTGTTTTGAAGTCCAAGTACTCTGTTGTCTTTCTGCCATGATCTGGGGCTTGCTGTGGAGGATTGTTAACACAAGCATTTTGCCTGTCTTTAGGTAGCCAGGTCAGTTCACATTATTTATCTAAATTTCCAGATTATTGAAATCTATTCATAGGTTATTGCTCTATATCCCATTGAGTGCGGGATTCGTCTCCTTTATATTCTTCTGGTGGGAGAGGGGGAACACCAAGGGGACAGTCTCCCTCTTAGATTGAAATACGTTTTGTCACCTTGCCCTTTCCTTGTTTTCCTAGGGCACAGGACACAAAATGATGCGCTGAGTTAAGAGCATGGGAATATCTGGGTGATGCCAGAACTGACAAGTCCCATAACAGATGGGTTTTCTGGAAGCTTTTGTGACAATGAAGAAAGAAATCTTGACTTGCAGTTCCCCATAGCAGGTCCTGCTGCTCCTTAGCATTTCCCCAAGCACTGCTGGCTGCCCAGCCAATGCATCTCAGACCTGTCCACCTTGTAACATCAGCTTCTGGGTTTTCTACCCACCGACACACATGGCTTTGGAGGCGTGCATCAGTGCTCAAAGGGTTCATGCCCCTGCTATTTCTAAACAGTGAGAGCTGGCAGCTATGTACTACATGATAAGTTGCTGGTGTGGTTGGACTAGACTGAAACCAGCAAGCCTGTTTCTCTCATTTTTTTTCCTTTTTCTTAGACTGTACTCAAAGATTGTGTGTCAGATTATCCATCACTGTGTACCTTGTGTTATCCTTTACCCTAGGGTAGAGTAAAAAGCTGCCAGTTAGATTTTTTGAGAGTTTTATTCTTGCTCTGTTCTGGTGTAAGTAACATCATTAGGCACCTGGCCTTTGGCTTTGTTATTTACCTTCCCCGTAAGTGCTTTGCACACAGATGGTGCTATAAAGTAACCACAGCCAACACCATTGCTAACTCATTATCAATTTATTGTCAGATTTACAGAGATTGCTGCTAAATTCCCACCATGCAACTTCCTCAACAGCTGAAAAATTGCAGCCTCCTGGCTTTAGGGGCCCAGGGAGAAGCCTGTGATCTGAAATAGGATCGCATGCTCCCTCCTTGTGCCTGGAGTCGCTGAGTCCCCGCTCTGCTCTCTTACAGTCCAGCTCCCGCAGTTCCCACTATGGTGCCTGGGGCCGCAGCGGAGCCTGGGGAAGCCGTCGCTCCAGCTGGAACAGCCTGGCCCGAGGACACAGCCTGAAGAACAAACCTCCCTCTGCCGAGCATGAATCCCTCCTGTCTGGGGAGAGGCACAGGGTGGCAGATGGGGAGCCAGACGGGACAGGAAGGGTGTTTCACCACCGCCGGACGCTCTCCCTGGACAATAAAGGCTCCTGTGACCTGCTGGAGTTGGCCTCGGTCCCACCTGGCCACAGAGTGACCTGTAAGCTGGGAGCAGTGTCCGGGGCCAGCGAGCATCAAGACTGCAATGGCAAAATGCCCAGTATTGCCAAGGAGATCTTCCCAAAGATGAACAACCGCAAGGAACGGGGAGAGGATGATGAAGAGATAGATTATGTGAGTACTTGATGGAGGAAATCTAGGGTTATGCTACAGTGCTGTGGGAAACCCCAAATCCATCCTCAAGTTTCAGTCTCCCTGCCATATGGATGGTAGAGCTTGCAAAGGTGCTTTAAGTACAGCTGGAGGACAACAATGAACACAGGTGGGACCTTCTGGGCCCAGACAAGCTCAAACTACATCAGGCTGCCTGCAAGGCAGTCGTACAGGTGGATGGTGGGAGGAAGGCAGATGTTGAGGCACGTGCATGGTCATTTGGGGGTTGTTATTTCAGAGTAGTGCAGCCAGTGATTTCTACAGACTAGGAAAGGTCAGGCTGTGTGAGCAGCCTGAGAGCTTTGCAGAGGGAGTACCAAGAGATCAGAGCTGTGAGCATTGAGAGCTTTGCGTGGGGAACATCAACAGATCAAAGCAAAAAGCACAGGCGTAAGAGACAAGGCAAGTGAGTTTTGCAGTGCTGACCTGGGAGACAGCAATGACCAATCTGTGAGCAGATCAAAGGGTGGAAAAAGTGGAGGGAGGGTCAGTAGAAATGCTGTATGAAATTAAGTCACTTCCAAGCCCAAGTGCCAACAGAAGGCCTTCCTGTCCTGGCCTCTTGTTTAGCTGAGATAGCAAGGAAACACTGTCGTCATGTAACAGAGCCACTCCAACAGCTCTGAAAAGGCATCATGGACAGCACCCGGCTCTAGAAAGGACACCAGCAGTTTTATTTGTAGTGACCTGGGGAGGAAACCAGGTGCTAAGAGGTAAACAGCTCCTGGCAAAGCAACTCCTACCTCCTTTTCAGTAGCTTGTTGCTCTTTGAGTCCATTTCCTTATTCAGGGGCTTAAAGAAAGGCTGGTAGTACACCTAGTGAACAGCAGGTAGGGGTGTTTTGGGGTCAGATGTGAAAGGAAGAGTGCCTTTCTCAGTCAAGTGGGAAGGTAACTGGTGGCACTTGCTTCTGCTGCGTCCCTCCAGAGCCTGTGCTTTCGCATCCGGAAGATGATGGAAGTCTACAAGCCAGACTGGTGTGAGTTACGGGAAGACTGGTCGATATATCTCTTCTCTCCACAAAACAGGTTTGTGCAGTTTTTGCCATGAGAGGGTTGAGAAGATGGGGCAGATTTTGTTGCCGTGCTGGCCATATCCCCTGAGCTGCATGTTAGGTTGCAATGTTAAACTTACCAGCTGGGAATGTGTTTTGTCTCCTCCACCTCCCCTTCTACAGCCAAACAACATTTCTCTTCCTTGGTTCTGGAGATGAAAGGAAGGATGAGAAACCTAAGCAGCTATTGTGATTTCCCCTCCCTTTGGAACATCCCATTTTTCTTTTGTGTAATCATAAATATTTATAACAAAGCAAGGCAGGGAATACTAACATTAACCCAAAAAAGGAGAAGCAATGTATTATTAATGACTTCATAATACCGATATTTCCTCCCCTGGTACCAGAACAGTCTCTCCATTTCATTTTCAGTCCCGGTACCAACTTATCATCAGTCACATCACACCTTTTATGGCAAAGTTAGAATTCTTCTTGCATGAAAAAAAGAAATTTGGGATAAATTCTTCCAGCTGAGGGGGTCTTCCCACAAGGAGAAAATGTCCATGTATCCCAGCCAACAGTATTCTCACCCATGTGCATTGCCCCTTGAAAAGAAGGAGGTTTCATTACAGGTCATGAGGGACAGCTCTTTGCTCTGTGTGACACCTGTGCTAGTGGTGTCTTTTAGAGCAGACAGAAGTTGGTCCCCATGACTGCCAACCTATCTGCCTCTCCTCAGCTTTTGGCATGTGGCTTCTTTGCCCTGGGCTGGTACAAAGTGTGAGTTTGGGGGGAAAACTGAAACTCAGCCTCTTCTCTACAGGGCAAGAGAGGAGCAAGAGCTGTAGTGGTTATGAAACCACTCTGGCACTGGGGCAGTGGATGAAGGTTCAGCTCCTTTCTCTGCTTTTGTTCTGCCTCAAGCTTGCTGCATGACTGTGGGCCACCCTGGGACATTGCCATGGCAAGGGACATCAGTATTAGTGATAGGAAAGCTGCTATGTCAGAGCTCAGTTTTGGCCAGACCTTTCAATTCTATGTCCTCGTAGCTCCTAACCTTGCTCTGCCCATGGCACAGGTGCCTACTGGAACTCTCTTGCAGGTTTCGCCTCCTCTGCCAAACCATCATTGCTCACAAGCTCTTTGACTATGTTGTGCTGGCCTTCATCTTCCTGAACTGCATCACCATTGCCCTGGAGAGACCACAGATTGAACACAGAAGCACGGTGAGTTCCATTTCCTCCCACTTGCTTTTTAGCATGACCTCTGACAGAGGTTTGTAAGTGTTCCTGTCACTGGTATGACCTCTGTAAGGTCGTCAAAGTTAAACACCAGCTCCCACTCATCCATTCAAATGCCCAAGTATTAGTAATTCACATAGTGTGTGCTTCCCCTGCAAGGTCTTATAATAGGGCAACCGGCTTTATAATACAGTAATCCTAGTTCTCTCCCTCTTGGAAAGTAAGAGAGTCCCCCAGGCACTTGCAGTTATACGATGACTGGCAAAAGGGACAGTGACTGGGAACTAAAAGATAGAAGTAACTTCCGTTCTATAGCAATGGCATGTCACCATTCATGTATGCTGCTTTTGAGCTATCTTGGAGGTGGCTCAAGCTGGCAAGTGAAATGGCTTTTTCTGCCTGTCTGCCTTAGCTGACCCCCAGACTACTGCACTTACACACAATCCAGTGGTCAGTGCTCAGCAGCCCTTCAGGAAGAAGTCCCAGGTCAATGCACCAGGTCAGGACTGAGCAGCACTGGCAGAACGGGGCAGAGAGTGCCTTGAAACCAGATTTGCAGGATGCATTGCGAGTGCCATCCACTGTGCTATTGCAAAGTTGCATAGGATTCTGTCCCAGCTGTGGGATGTGGCCAAGCCAAGGTATATGAGCCAAAAGCTGCCGAGCACTGACCTTTGCCAAGGGCACCTCTCCTATTTCCCCAACTTTCAGACCCTTCACAGGAAAGCAAAAGATTTCAAATTCATCAGAGGGGCCTGACAGAGTAACAAGAAGAAGTCAAGATACATTTAAGGCCTTTCTCTGTTTTTTCTAGGAGAGAATCTTTCTCACTGTGTCCAACTACATTTTCACAGCAATTTTTGTAGCTGAGATGACACTGAAGGTAAGTTGCTGGAGGTGAACAGCTCAGAGCCTTTTCCTAGTGTCAGGAGCAACAAGGTTCAAGTTTACTCAGCACCCTTCTAAAATCTCTCATTCTTTTCAGTATGCCAGTCCTTCTCTCTACCTCAGTAAAGGCAGATACTGCCTGGGGTTGTCCCCTCTTGTCAGGCATAGAGGCTATGCTTATCCTAGGCTTTAAATCCAAAAGGATCTTAGTATCTAGGAAGAATAGCTGGCCTTCAGGTATGAATTTTGTAATGATGTCAAATGTCCATTCCATTTCTCCTGGAGCAAGAATGGGGGAAATAGCAACAATATTAATAACATGATCTTAGTTGAGATAATTATTCAATAGGTGTCTAAGTACTTTTCAGCAATAGGGAAATCTTATTATTCCCCTCTTGTGATTGCGAGAGAGTCCTAAAATGGGATGCCTGAAGTTAAACAGCTGAAATTCATACCTGATTTACAGCCATGATTTGCAGGTTGTTTAGCTCTCCCCAAGGCCAGCGATTTCTGTAGCACCTACTGGTATTGAGAATTGCTGAAAATCAAACCACCCCCTTGAAGACCAAAGTATGGGTTTTGGTGCCCGATTTTGCCTCCCAGATGATCTCTGAACTGGGAGATTTGCCCTGGGTCTGTGGTATGGCAGGGAGAGGTTTCCTGTGTGTTCCCTACAGTGTCCTGTTGCTCAGGGAGGCAGAGGAAAGGTGAGAAGACATCATGGCCCTGTTAATTTTGGAGTTATGTGACGCCACTTTTCCCAAAGATGTTTTCCTTCATAGCCTTCCAGGTGAAAGGAAAAAATCATGAGATGACACTTCAGTGTCATGTGAAGTTGATAACCGTTCCCCATCCTCCCTTTCTCTCCATAGCTGCCCTCTACAAGGGCATTTAACCCCCATTTAACCCCCTCTCCTCTCCCCTCTCTTGTAGGTGGTCTCTCTAGGCCTGTATTTTGGGGATCAGGCTTATCTCCGCAGCAGCTGGAACATCTTGGATGGCTTCTTGGTCTTCGTGTCTCTCATTGACATTGTGGTCTCGGTGGCCTCTGCTGGTGGCGCCAAAATCCTGGGGGTGCTGCGAGTCCTCCGGCTGCTGCGCACCTTACGTCCACTTCGGTCAGAGCCCCACCGAGCCCTGCTCGGCCCCCTCTTCCTACCGGGCCCCCAGGAAAGGTCCCAGAGTCAGATCCTGCTGCGCCAGGCAAAATGTGGTCTTTGACAAGCCATAAGCCACAGGGAGGTTTCCCTTAGCCATACGGCTCTGGCCTTGGAGGTACCTAATGAAACAGCCAACCCATAGGACAGAAGAGGCTTTTTGGTTGCAGGGGAGTGATCCCCACTGATGGGTCACTGCGCAGGGAGAGCAGGGGTCCGCTGCTGCTGAAAATGCTTAGCTTAGGCCAAACATCCCTGCCCTATCCCCTTGTCACCCCTCCCGTTCCTTCCCTTCCAGAGTCATCAGCCGAGCCCCTGGCCTGAAGCTGGTGGTGGAGACACTCATTTCTTCCCTTAAGCCCATAGGAAACATTGTCCTCATCTGCTGTGCTTTCTTCATCATCTTTGGCATCCTGGGTGTGCAGGTAGGTTGTTACTGCCCATCAGACATGCCCCCATTCCTCCACCCCTATCATGGGCACCTGTACCCACAGGCGTTACAACAGTCGTAGGGAACCAAGCAGAGCAGAAGGGACCAGCAAGCCAGGAAGTTTTCTGCACCTGCCCTTCTCCATGAGCTGTCTCCCACCATATTGTCCCTGCAGCCTTTGGCAAGGACAGCCAGGTGCTCAGCCAGTGCAAGTGTTGTTGCATATGCAAGACAGGAGTTAATGCTCACACCTGGCAGGAGTTAGATCAGGGTTTGGGTCAGCATTATAGGGAGGGCCCAGGGCTGGCACAGAACAGGGCTCACCGGGCACATCCATGTCGCACCACGAGGGCAAGCAACTCAGTGCCTGGGTGCACAAACCCTGCCTCCAGTCAGCTCTGTTTCTCCCCCTTGCTCTGAGCCCTAAATCCACCCACAACCTTAAATAAATTTTTTTTATTTAATCCTCTTTATTTTTGGCTGTTGCATTGCAGAGGAGCAAGGGCGTGGGTGTTACTTCCATCTCAGGGAATGCGCTATACTTAGTCTGCTCTGATGCATCTGTACAAATGCACAATCCAGTACCTTCCATATGGGGAAAGGAGCCCTGGGCAGAAGAGCCACAGCAGTGCGGTGCAGCTTTGTGAAAAAAAAAAAAAGTATCTGAGAAGCAGGGGATGCTTTTTCTGGTTCTTTACCCTCAGATGAGATCTTCTTTTCCCATCAGCTCTCTCAGTAACTGGGAAGCAGGGAGGGGAGATTCTCTTGGGGACTGGAGGCTCTAATTGCACCCAGAAAGGCTGCCCTAAAGGCTGTCAGATGGTAAGGGCTTACAGTCACTGCTGGTCTGGGGCAACAGAGGAGGCTGAAAAGCCAGTGTGGGTTTACAAGGGTGGCCCTGGCTCCTTAACAATGTTTGAGCCTGTGCTTTATGTCACATTTGTGGTCCTCCCTACCTGTCATGCTCCACCTGGCTTGCAGCCCTGCAGCACACCCACCATCTCGGGAGCTTCTGCACATCCCAGGGAGCATGGGGAACCCTGTGGGGAAATGGGCTGATGGGGTCACTCCCCTCCTGCAGCTTTTCAAAGGCAAGTTTTACCACTGCCTGGGAGTCGACATCAGGAACATCACCAATCGGTCCGACTGTGTGGCTGCCAACTACAAGTGGGTGCACCACAAGTATAACTTCGACAACCTGGGACAGGTAAGTGTGCCCACAGGCCCTGTCTCAGATGGGAACCCAGCACAGGGTTTGTCTCTTCATATACGTACCCGTCCCTGGGGCACAGATGTAGTGCCTGGAAAGCCTGATCCCTGGGCCAGGAGGGGCGGTTATTTGGCATGGATATTCATGCAGAAGCTACGTCACTAGTAGGTCGGTATCAGGATGATGCTTACATATTGTGGGGGGAAAGAAAAGTGGTTGCAGCAGAGAGCTTTATTTTCTTTTTCCTCCTGCCATGAAGCAGATGTTCTTCACAACCTCTCTCCTCTGGTGGGTTTGGCTGCACGTGGCTTCCTGTCCCCCCCACCTCTCCTCCACAGAGGAAGTAGCAGGTTTTGATGTGTGCAGAGACAACAGGCAGAAAGAGCATTTCAATGTTGTGTGTGTTAGAGCGTAAACCCATGATTTTTTTTCCCAGATTGCCAGATGCCCCTGCTCCACATCTGCTTTGCTTTATATGTTGCAGGCTCTGATGTCCCTCTTTGTTCTGGCTTCCAAGGATGGCTGGGTCAATATTATGTATAATGGACTAGATGCTGTGGCTGTTGACCAGCAGGTAAGAAGATTTCCTTGTGAAAGGACCTTTTCCACTTTCCTCAGACTAGTGGAAAGCTGCTTTCACATCCTGCTTCAGACACCTCTTTCAAACCAAGTGTCCCTTTCAGGGCCCTTCTGAATCCTTTGCTCACCTATTTGCAAGGGGTCAGGGTCATGCCTGGTCCATGCAGGGAGGTGCAGCTGTGGGCTGTGCAGTCACCCTCTGCTCGGTTTGGATCTCACAGCGGGTGTTTATCCATTTGTAATGACAGAGCAACAAAGCCATGTGGCTTTCTGGGCATGCTGGCTCCCTCCTGACCCGTAGGTGGTTATTTTAATACCTTGCAAAGCAGAGACTGTCGGGCTGCTGCCCACTGCATCCTTATTCCTCTACTACTAAGGCAGTCACGTTGATAGTGTCCAGTGTAGGCACCTGCCATGGGATGTAGTCCCACAGGCTTGAACCTCAGGGATGATGCTCCATTTACCCCTGAACCTCTGCACAAAGTGCATCACTGTTGGCTTTGTAGGCTTTTTGTCAGGAGACCCAGTCAGAGTCAAGGCTTCCTTTCTCTCTGAGCCTGAATGACATTTCTGTTCTGGTCTCGTTGCTGTTTTGGCCACATATGGATGCGGTCTCTACTTGCCCTTGAGCCAAAGGTGTTCCTGGTGCCTGGACACCAATACTGGTGTTGTATTCAGCCTGTGGCTGGGGTTATGCCTGAATTGTGGGTGATTCTGCGCAGATGGGCCCTTGCCCTTGACTCCCACCCACTCCATCAATTGCCAGCTGATGCCAAAATCGAGTCAGCCAACCACAAGCTGCCTTGCCTGTACCCCCAGCTCTTCCCAGTCCACTCCCCTGATTTCCATAACCCCTCCATAACCTCCATCATTTACATACCACCTAGCATCCAACTGATTGACTGCCTCTGTTCTTCCCCCTTCCTCCAGCCGGTGACCAACAACAACCCCTGGATGCTCCTCTACTTCATCTCCTTCCTCCTTATTGTCAGCTTCTTTGTGCTCAACATGTTCGTGGGGGTGGTGGTGGAGAACTTCCACAAGTGCCGGCAGCACCAGGAGGCTGAGGAGGCACGCCGGCGGGAGGAGAAGCGGTTGCGCCGCCTGGAGAAGAAGCGAAGGAGTAAGGCACAGCCTAAGTGTTTGGTTGGTTCGTAGGCCAAGGTTTTCTGAGAAAAACCTTCTCCTCTTCTTTTTCTTTCCCAATGGACCGGTCTCCAAAATGCATCGCTTGTGGCCGTGCTCTCAGCCTTCCTCCTCGCACCACTGCCGTGTCGCTATGCACCTCACTGGGGCGGTCTGGGGGAGAGGGGTGGCTGACAAGGCCTGCTGAGACTCTGGGGAAGCCACTGGGATTTTAGCACCCTGCCCCTCAGGAGATAACTTGTACCAAGAATACCCTTGTGCACATGCTGGTATGCACTTTCGACACAAGATGTACATATGTCAGTGCATCTCCTGGGCTTGGGACAGTCCCACTTGGGCTTTCTGCAACCCAGATGGCGTTTGAGGGAAGACCTGGACAGACCATCCTTTGTGTTTAAACCCAAATGTAAAGAAGAGGGAGGGGAAAAAAAGAGGAAGACCGCTGTGTTTTGTTCTTGACTCTTTCCTTCAATGTTGCAGTGTTACTCCTTGGGGTCCCAGACCCTCTGTGATGAAGCAAGCCCTTTTCCTGGCGTTTCCGTCCTCTTCTGTATTACCTTTAGACAAAAATTGCAAAAGCATACTTGCCCCTGGAAATCTTCCCTGCTACCCCAGACTGATTGTTTTCTTCTGTTCATAGCCTGTGGGCATGCTTTCCCTTTCTTTGCTCCAGTTTTCCCCCTCTCTTCTGTGACACTCCAGGGCCTCTCCTGGAACCATCTGCTCCCTTTTATCATTTGTGGTCTTAATTTGTCAAGGCATGAAATGCTGATTTAGCACCATTCCCACAAACATAAGACTAACAGATTTTCTTTCTAGCGTTCCTCTCCTTGTCTTTTTTCTACTTATTTTTTCCTCACTTCTACTTTTCTCTATTTTGCATTTTTTTCCTCCTTCCTATGTCCCATATCTTTTACTTAATACTTTTCTGTTCTTTTTCTCTCCCACCTTCATTGCCTTTTCTTTTGACACCTATCACCACTCTTATGCCTGCCCCCTCCTCAGTGTTTCTTAACCATTTCTCTCTTTCTTCCAATTTCTCCCTAACTCTGCCCATCTCCCTCTTTCCACTGAAGAGGCACAGCGTCTGCCGTACTATGCTACCTATTGCCCCATACGCCTCCTTATTCATTCGGTCTGCACCAGCCACTATCTGGACATCTTCATCACTTTCATCATCTGCCTCAACGTGGTCACTATGTCCTTGGAGCACTACAACCAACCTGTGGTGAGTGAGATCATGGAGATAACTCCTGCTTCTAGTCATTATGTTATTTTGCTACAGCTCTCTGATGGCCACTGCCCACCAGCATAGGTAGGGCACTTGAGTGTCTCTAAAAGGTAGTGCTAAAACATTGCAAGAGTTAATGTAGTAGGCAAAGTTATGTGAAGAGTTTTGTACATATCTAGAAAGGTAGCCTTGACTCAAACACTTGTTATCCATTAAAATCAATAGGGAGGAGACATCTAAGCAAGATTTGGGCCCCTAGAAAGCATGATGCAATAAAGTCTCTGTGCTTTATATTATTAAGTAGGTATGTGGGTCATCCAAATTTAGCTGGCTGGTCTGCTTTGTGTGTTGCTCTGGATCCTAACAGGAGGAGTGGTGGAAGCAGCAATGTCTTGGGAGCTTCAGGCTTTGCATCAGATTTCCCAATGTCAGTCCAATTCTCCTGCCATGTGGCCTGACCTGAGAGGACTAGAGTGGCTGGTTGTGTGTCATGGGATAGGATGTCTTTACTGAGCCACCGTTTTTCCGTAAGAGAAGCTGCAGGACCAAAGCACTGAGCAGAGCCTCTCTCAGCTGCAGGGGTTGATCCCCAGTGAAGGGTCTTGAAGGCCAAACAAGTTTTCTACTTTGGTTGGGAAAGATCTCTCAGTATTCCTGGCAAAGCTCTAGATGCCTTTGGTGGAAAAAAAAATGTATGCTGCACATATCAAAGCAGATTTCTGCCTCCATATGCAGACAAAGTATTCATCATGACATCTGCCTGGTGGCATTTGAGTTTTCTCTTCAGGAGACCCTTGGTTTAGGTGACAGCTCTGGTGTCTGAGCAGATGCTGTCCAAGGTAGCTCAGGCTTTGATCAGGAATTGAATCTGTCTCTCCTCATTCAAATCCACTGCCAGGCTCCTCTGTTTCTTGCCCATCTTGCCGAACTGCCCGTCTTTGATCTTGCCCTTCTTGGTGCCCAGGCAGGAACTCTCAACCTTTATCTGTTGTCATCCTCACATCAGGCCTGAACAATTCACTCCCTCACTCCTCAGCTCCTTCTCCTGGAACACAGGTCCAGCCATGCCAGCCTGCTGTCAGGCTCTGCTAAAGAATCTTGCCAAAGTGCTTCAAACCCTTCCAGTACAAAGTGCCACCAGATGTGCCCACTGCTTACACTGGTCCTTGATAGTGGAGAAAGTGCAGCACATAAAAGAACCAGAAGCCAAACAACTAAGAGATATGACATATGCCTACCCTAGGCCAAAGCATAGGGGTGGTTTCTTCCCATCAGAAATGTATCTGCAACTGGAGTAACCTTTGTGCCTCAATCCTGGCTGATAGCTATGCCAGCTCCAATAACATGGTGGCATGCAGGTGACATGGGCTACTGGCAGAAGAGGAGGCTGATGGTACTTGGTGGATTCTCCTTGCAATAACCTCCTCCTCCCCATTATGCTGAGCAGTATAGGAGAAAGGAGGAATAACCGATCCTGAGAACAACATGTGGCAGAGGAGCCAGCTGATGGTTGCCTTTAGTAGGCAGCCTCCACATTGTAGTAGGCAGAAGTCATGGGCCAGCTTCCACACCTCCCGATGAATTCCTGGCACTCGCAAGGGTCCCCCCACAGGTTATCTACTTGATGTTGTCTTTGCCCCAATTTCTTACCCTCTCCTTCTGCTGGCAGTCCCTGGAGACCGCCCTCAAGTACTGCAACTACCTGTTCACCACTGTCTTTGTGTTGGAGGCAGTCCTCAAGCTGGTGGCCTTCGGTCTGCGGCGATTCTTCAAAGACAGGTAAGCAGAGGGTTATGTCAACTGCGGCTGTGAGACAAGTGATTTTGGGGTGGAGGTTTTGAGGATGGATCCCTATCTGCAGTGTGAGGTGGTAGCAGAGCACCCTGACTGCCTCCCAGTTCTGCACATCATGGACCCAGCCTCAGCCTGTGTGAGCCGCAATGCCTAGGCAATAGTAAGAGCTGTCCAAAAATTGCCTCTTGGTTGGCATCTGCTGGTTAGGCTAGAAAGCAAAGGAGGTGGGGTTAGATAGAGCCATTTTTTTTCCTGCCCTTGAGGCAAACTGGGAGCATGCTGAAGCAGAACGTATATTATGAAGCTGATTTGCGGTAGTAAGGCCGTAAAAACTTGAGCCCATTAGTCAAAGCATAGCACCATAGTAACACAGCTCTATGCTTTCAGATCAGGCTGGCTTGCCTCTGGCTGCTCAGGGTGTGTGCAGAGTGAATCTCTGTTTGTCTGCAAAAGCCCATATAGGCTGACTCAGAGTGGGGCCTTGAACTCACACATAAAGAAATATTTAGGTTGAAGTGGAGACAATTGACTTTCAGAGAAACAGAAAAAGTCCAGTTTCCTTTATTCTCTCCGATTTTTCTTCTTAAGGTGGAACCAGCTAGATCTGGCCATTGTGCTGCTCTCTGTCATGGGCATCACATTGGAAGAAATTGAAATCAATGCTGCTCTCCCAATTAACCCCACCATCATCCGGATCATGAGAGTGCTGCGTATCGCCCGGGGTGAGAGAGACACTAGCCAGAGGCAGGGGTGTGGGTGGCCATGGGTGGGACTTGGTGCCATGACTCATTGAGCAGTTGCTGTAGAGTCACGGGTTTGCCCTGTGCCGAGCCCTGGGAGGGAGGCAGGAGATGTGGCGAAGGACAGCCTAGAGGTTGAGGCTTTCTGGATTCCTTTAGTCAGGCATTTAGATGCACTTTTAACAGGAGGTGAAGGGCTAGGAGGGTGAGCAGACCATGCAAGAGCTAAACTTTCCCTCTTTTGCTTTTATGGGGCAAGTATGGTAGTGGTGGTTGGAGAAGGGGCCACCAAGCAGGTTAAAGTTTGCATGGGGGAGGACTGAAACTTCCTGGAGGTGGCCAAGGTGTGCTAAGCTGTCTTAACAGATGGTGGCTGGAGGAAGAGAAAGCAAAGGACAAAAAATCAAAGCAGAGGGAGAATTGTGATACACATTGCTGGGAGAAAGAGGGCTCTTGGCCAGACTGTCTCGGTGAAGCAGAAGAAGCCTGATAGGCATGGGTGGCAGAAAGTATTTTGTAAGAAGGAGATGGACTGGAGGAGAAGGAACCACTGGGGTTGTACAGTCAAAAGAAGTGGGAAAAGGGAGAAGGGGGCCAAGGAGGACAATCCAGGTTTTCTAGGATAAGGGAAGACAGGACATCTGTCTTGTGCTACTGCCATTAGTAAGTGAGACAAAGGATGGACCTTCTGAGCTCAATCTGAGTGACACTTCTCTTGTGCTTGTGACAGTCCTGAAGCTACTGAAGATGGCCACAGGAATGCGAGCACTGCTGGATACAGTTGTTCAAGCCCTCCCACAGGTAAAACAGACCAGCTCACCCAAAGACTCTCCTTTTCTGTGCCCATTTTCAAAAGGGGTGATTCTTGTGGAGTCTCAGAGGTGGTGTCTGCTGTGTTGTGCAGGCAACTGCCTGAAGGTGATGTCCAAGTTTTCATGTCATTCATGGGGGTACAGCTCTCCTCATATAGGTGTTGTCCAGGTTAGCATGTCAGTCACAGAGGTACAGCTCATCTCACATCTCTCTTCTCCAGTGGGTGAATGAAATAAGGCTTATTTCCAGGATGAGGGCAGATTTCCTCCCATCATGTCTAGCTAGTGTCTACCTGCTTGTGACTAGTCCCCAGCTCCTCTCTCCCCTCTCCATAAGAAGGGAAGAGTGACTGGCAGCCATTTCAGGAGGAAAGGAGGTCTTTGCATCTCTGCCTCTCTCACCCCCTTCCCCAAATTTTCCCCCCCCCCCCCCCCCTTTGATTCGCACTCCTATAACTCCTTTTCTTAGCCAGTGCCTCCCCCTTCCTACTGTCTTTTCTTCCTTTCTCCTTCTGGATCCCTTTGTGTTTCTGAGCCTCTCGTGTATGAGAAGCAGTGACGCACTTTGTTGTGGCTCACGCAGCCGGCAGTTAAGTGTCTACTGCAAGACAGCTAGACAGAAGGATTTCATGAGCTGTGAGCAGCAGCTGTTCCTGAATGAGATGCTGACACGGTGCTTTTACATGGGCTTCAAGCCCACTGTGAGGATCCTCCGTGATGGATGAGGAGCTAGGGAGACCGATCCCCTTCTTTTTGGATCCTTGAGAGAGAATTGTTAAGCAAGGAGTAATGGCATCAAATGGCTCTACTGATCATTCATCAGACTATTACCCTGGCAGGCTCCGAGCAGGCAGCTATATTGCATGATATCAAAATGCACAGGCATTTGTCAGTTGATTTATCAGCTAATGTGCCAGTCTCAGTGACTGATGCAGAGCTGAGAATCAATCTGAAAACAGCATGAGTAGTCACCCAAGGAGTTTACTTCTGATGTTGGTGACAATAAATGTCAATCTGAGTTAGAAGAATCTTGTGGCACAGAAGCACAGAGGGAAACACTGTGATCTTTTATGGATCCTGAGCTTTATCTGATCTCCTGTGCTTTTTAGTTATTTATATTTGTTAAACAATAGTAATTCGTGCTTTTGTCTAATAATAATAATTACGTAATTAATATGTAGGATATATAATAATATTGTCAACCAGGATAGTTGGGGGCTGAGATACACTGGACAATGGAAGAAACAGGAGATTACGGGTGGTGTTATAGCAGGCAGCTTTGGGACAGTAACATTTATTAGTTCTGGCTCTGCTGCCCCAGGCTGGCTTAGTGCAGTTTATTTGCACCTTGCTCTTTTCTGTTCCATGAGCCACAACAGCCGATTTTTCTCAGGCAAGGATCTGGAATGGAGCAGGTCTCCAGATCCAGTATCTGCATGTCTGTAGCATATTTATTCTGCATCCCAGATAAATGCCCACAGGTATTAAGAGCTGGCTGAAGTAGTATCCAGAAGCCCTTGGTAAGAGGACTCTGCACTATATTTGCACTTAAATGGTGAGACTCAACATCTACACCCAAAGTATAGAGAACAAATAAGAGAGGAGGAAGTGTTCATATCCTTGTCATGCAGATGGAGAAACTGAGTCATCAGGCAGTCAAGTATTTTGCTCAGGATGGCAAAACACAAAGCTGGGACCTCAGTTCAAGCCTCCGAGCCCTGCTTTGGTCCTAGCCGCCAACCACAAGTGCGTTCTTCTATACTTTATCAATTCTGTCTTTTCTGTCTCCCATTCACCTGCAGCTCCTTTGCTAACCAAGATGGTAGGTCAGGTCTTTTGGAAGTCATTAATATCTTCCACAAAACACTCACAAGCAGATGTCTAAAGGTCTGGCCTCTAGGTATTCCCTGGAATACAAACAGTGCTTAATCCTTACAGCATCAAAGCCTGTGATCTATCTGCTTCCTATTGACTGGGTTTTGCTTCCTTCTGTAACAGGTTTGCTTTGTTTAATAATGTTATATAACAGAGGGATCCAAAATCACTCCATAGTTAAAGTTATGTAAAAATCTGCACTTAAAGCAGGGCTAAAATCCCCCAGTTTCAGTGTTAAAAGATCTAATTTAGTCTCCATATTTTACACACTGAGTCTTCAGGGGACAATTGAATTATCTGTAGTATTATTCTCCAAGATTTATTGGCTTTGCCAAAAGAAGCAGTTTAAAATAAGCTGTCCTTTCCCTTGCACTTTTTCCTCCTCTTGACCTTTCTCTTTATGTTCCTAGAGCACAGACTCACATCAGGGATTTTGGCTTACTAATGGCATATAAGGCGTCTCCAGTTGTCCTGTTCCGCTTCCCTTCCTGTCTTTGTTATACTGCAACAGTTCTTAATAGTGAATAGAGCTTTAATTTTAAAGAGCCTTTTGGAAATGTAGCCCTTAGCTAAATTTTATTAAATTATTTTTCTTAATGCTCTGTAGACACAGACCCAGAGGTGTGTGTTCACAGCATTTACTATGATGTCCAATTTAGTCATCAGAAATAATTCCTTCTACTGAGTATGTAGCGAGCCAGGATCTGGCAGCCCAGGGAAGTGGGTGGGCTGAATCATTTATTTCTCTCCCGAATTTGGATGGCACAGCAGTTGCAATGGCTAAATTAGACTCCTGAATTGGATGATCCTAACAAAGGCCCAGTGACCACATGCACCAGTTAGGTTCTTAATTTTTCTCTGACTTCTACTGCTCCACCACCAGTGTGCTAACTGTTACTGGCATTTTCTGTTACTGTTCAGCTTGGCTCTTCCAAACCCCCCTCCTGCTCCTCACGTATAGCCCAGCTGCCCACATGCTGGGAGGCAGGAGACTCAGAGGCAAGCAGTGATTTGGGAGAGGGAGGACTTAGGGGAAGTGTCGATATCGCTGGTGGCACTGCTGCCTTTGTGCACCACAAAGCAGCTATGCTCGCCTTGAGGGGTTTCCAAACAGCAGCTGCTGGAGGCCCAGAAATAAGGCTTTGACCTATTATTCCTGAGATGCAAAGGAGGCTCTGCTTCCTCTCTTGATTCCTTCGTAGGCTTGTCTTCTCTCTTCTCCTCCTCCTCTCCATAAATTTCAAAAGTTACCCTTTACCCTTCTTTCTTCCCACCTGCCTACTGCTTCCACAAGCCCTGCTTTAACATCTACGTGTACCTGGTGCTTTGCCCCACCATGCTCTGCCTGGTTCATAGCGGGCATTGGTGTGCCTGTGGAGCACTGCTGCTGTGCTTGTCGTGTGAGCATATAACTTCAAGGGACTTGAAGTTGGTGGGGCATGTAGCACTGCAGGACATGTCTGTATGCTGTAATCCATATCTTCTCCTTGATCCAGCCAAACTGGCTTCACCCTCTGTGCCCCTGCTCCAATGTGCTTGTCTTCACCTGGCCCAGACACTGCACATTTTAGTCAGCCCTGGCTATAGCTTGTGCTGAAGTGGAGGCAACTGGGAAAAGAGTATCCTTCAAGTCCAGTTGCAACCAGTTCCATCATTGTGATTTCCCAAGTGTTGAGCAATTGTTTGGTTGCATTTGTACACCGGGAATTTGCTGATGTTCTCTTCAGGCTTTGAAAGACAGAAACACTTGCCTATACAGATGAAATGGTCTTTGGGGCAGGCTGACCATGCTGTTTGCTTTCAGGTGGGAAACCTCGGACTCCTTTTCATGCTCCTCTTTTTCATCTACGCTGCTTTAGGAGTGGAGCTCTTTGGAAAACTGGGTAAGTCTCAGACAAACCACACTCCAGTCTGAGCTACAGTCCTACTGGGAAGCTGAGGTTTCTCAAAATCAGTACTTATTGAATAAAGGGACTGAATTACTTGATGGCCTTTATTCTCCCTTGTGTGTAATTGATGTAAGAGGAATTTCCCTTTAAATTGTTATTGTCCTAATAGCCTAACAAAGTAATAGTAGTGTCTGGTTTGTCTTTCATTCTTGAACTTTTGCTTTTTCTGCACTGCCTACATTGATATTCCCTTCAAGATTACAAGAAAAACTCAGGGAAAGTTTACATCTCTTGCCATGGAATATTGATCAAGAAGAAAGGCAGCACAATGGCAATTGGGAGGATACCCCTGAGCAACTAAGTTACACTGCCTGATATCCCGGGGCTGGGCCATCAGGGATTTTTCTGTATTGCTGGGCAACATCCAAATGTTGGGCAGGGTGCTGATGCCATTACCTGAGGTGTCCAGACTGTGAGAAGCCTGAAGTCCCGTTCCCCAGTTCCTGCTGTTGATCTCAGAGCTGGCAGTGTGTCCTCCACTGATAGCTGCGATCCCCTTCCTTTCAGTATGCAATGATGAGAACCCCTGCGAGGGCATGAGCCGCCACGCCACCTTTGAGAACTTTGGGATGGCCTTCCTCACACTCTTCCAGGTGTCCACAGGTGACAACTGGAACGGGATCATGAAGGTAACTGGGACTCAGGGGTGTGGATGTTCTTATTGTGGGGGAGGAGAAATTCTGATGTGTGCTCTGTTCAGCATTGCTTGGGCTAGAAAAGGGAAGGAATGTAGCAGCTGGGCTACTAGATAAGGTCCCTGCTTGGGCCAGAATGTCCTTCCCCACCATGGTAACTCACACCTTGGGCTCATCTAGTCCTACAGACACCTGGCTGAGAAAAGTGCAAATTCTCTTTGGGAGGAACAAGAAGAATGTCCAGGCTAAGAGAGAATATCCCATAAGGCCTGTTATCAAAGCTGAATGTGGGTGCATTGGACATGGCACCCATCTGCAGAGCTACCAGGGCAATCTGAACTAAATACTTCCTTCCATTAAAGGACATGGAGAGAGGAACGTTCTTTGAGCACATATGGTGCTTTTGAGTCTGAGTAGGAGAAGGCAGTACCAGACTGCTCATTTTTGTTCTTGCTCACATGTGTGGGGCTACAGTGGCAGCAACATGTGATCGTCTGGAAGTAGTTTGCTCTGTATACCTTTGGACATATTTTCTTTGAAGCAAAGAGCACATGATTAGATAGTGTCAAGGATTTTTGAGGACCTCATGATCCCAGTGATAGAAATGTTTGCCTTGTTCTTTCCATTTGCATCAGTGTTTTTTGACAGAAAGAGCAACCAAGCTTGTATTCTTACTTTAGTCCTTCCTTCCTTCCTTCCTTCCTTCCATCATTTTGTCTCAAACCCAACTTCCCCTCAAGGATACCTTGCGTGACTGCAGCCATGATGACCGGAGCTGCCTCAGCAACCTGCAGTTCATCTCCCCACTGTACTTTGTCAGCTTTGTGCTCACAGCCCAGTTTGTCCTCATCAATGTGGTGGTAGCTGTGCTCATGAAACATCTTGACGACAGCAACAAGGAGGCCCAGGAGGATGCAGAGATGGATGCTGAGATTGAGCTGGAAATTGCGCATGGGCTGTGCTCACGCAAGTCAGGCTCCCTGAAGTCAAGACAAAGAAAAGGAGCAGGAACAGGGGGAAGCAGTGGGAGAACAGATCCTGAAGGACGTCTATGCACGAGATGTTACTCTCCAGCACAGGTAAGTACACCTTTGAGCTTACCAAACAGACTGCAGCAAGTAGCTGTGGGGAGAAGCTGGGCAGCCTAGATGACTGTGGCCTTAGCAGTAGCAGATAGACTCTTCCACCTCAGGGTGAAAGGTTTGCTTTCAGCAATGGACTTTTGAGTTGGTAGTATTGTGTGGGGACAAGGTTGTGACAGCAGCAGGTCCTGTTCATTGTCATCATGGTGTAGGAACCTGAGGGCCAGCAGAGGAGGGATGGAGCAGATCTACTAAAGGTGCGTTAGGAGCAAATTTGACAGGGGAGCTCAGGAGGAGAGCGCAGGGGAAATGACGGATCAAGAGTGAGGCACTCCAGCAGAACTGGAAGGGAGGCATGAGCAGTGCCATGGTGCACTGACAGTGAGTGAAGACAGTCCCTCCTTTTTCTCAGCTTTTTTTTTTTTTTTTTTTTTTTGCATTGAACTCCGGCACCTTTACACATCCCAAGGAGCAAATGGTCCCCCAGTGACCCTGTGCAGGTACCTGCAGAATAAGGTGCTGCTCCAGACAAGTCAGGGTGGAGAACCCAGACCCAAATTCACGTGAAACCTTGAAGTGCATTCTTAAAATGATCTCTCCCATCCTCCCCCCTTTCTTGTCCCCTAGGAGAACTTATGGCTGGACAGTGTCTCTTTAATTATTAAGGACTCCTTCGACGGGGAGTTAATGATCATCGATAACCTATCGGGCTCCGTCTTCCATCATTACTCCTCGCCGGCCATGTGCGAGAAGTGTAACCATGACAAGCAAGAGGTAACCTGCGTACGAGGATGTGTGAGGGGACTTTCCCCCCAAGACCTGCACACCTACACCCACATGCCCGCAGGTCGTCCGATGTGTGCTCCTGGCTGTAGATTGTGTAGACAGAGAGCTTGTTGACTTGTGTTTGTCATCTGTCATGAATCGCTATGTCTACAGTACAGGCCTGCCCTCCTTAGTCATGGGGGGATGTTTGAGGTGGTGGAAAGGTGAGATGTGCCAGGACACAGGTCAGGAGGACTGAATGAGCTGTAGAGAAATGACTCTGAAGGTGTCCTGGCAGCTCTTGTTGTGTTCAGTTCTGCAAGAAAAGCAGAGGTTCAAGCTCATGTTGTATGGAAGACTCAAAGGACCTTATCCCAATGACAGCACTCAGGAGTGATTCAGTGGGAAATTTAAGCATGTGTTTTGTCCTAATTTTAAGCATGTGCTTGCCTATTCCTTGTTGAGGTTGATGAATTAAGCACGTGCTCAAATGTCTTGTTGAATAGTCACCATCTGTGAGCAAGGATTGGTTTGTGGTGAAAACCAGTTAATTAGTTTCAGCAAAAACTAAATAAAAATGGGTCCACTGAGAAAGTTTGAGAGTCTCCTGATTTAGAACCTGTTAGTTGACAAATGGGCTGTTCCTAAGAGCAGGACACCAAATGGCTTAGACGTGTGCTTCTAAAGTTAGTAGATGCTTGGGAAAACTACTTCCTAAGCAATTAGTCTTTTCAGGTTGTGAAACTTCAGGAGCAAAGTAGACTGGAAGAAGTTAGATGAGTAGAAGAATTAATTTTGTTTCTGAAATAATTTTATTGTATTTATGTGCTATGATTATGGTCAGGCTTGTAACAGTAGCGTGGCTCATCTGACAGTAAATAAGTACATCACTGGCAACCTTCATCATCTCCTTCCCCGTAACTAATTTGATATGTTGCTATTCCTTATAAAGAAACCAGAAAACTTGGGAAGAGAGCTCTCATTCACTGATTGCTCTGTCCATGTTTGAAGAAAACAACATTTTGTTGGGCTTCAGATGCCTAATTCTGATGCTCTAATTTTTTTCAGCTTTTCCCCTGCTTGTCCCCTAGCTTCCTTTTGAAAGTATCAAAATGCGAACGTTGCTGTAGTTTATCAGTACTGCAACACTTCACAAATGGATACTGCATTCATGTAGCCAAATAACTAGTTTTCAGTTAACTGCAATTTCCACTGCTTTATGTATGTCCTTATATTCAGCAGTTGGTGCTCAGCCTTCTCAGAAAAATTAGGTCTTCTAAGGCATTTCAGAGTGATTACCCAGAAATTAGGTAATTTGCGTTTGAAAACCTTCCAGACAGTCTTCAGTATCCTGCCTAGGAGTGAAGACAACAACAGATTTTCTTACCTTTCCAGCAAGGAAAAATCTTCAAGTGCAACCCACCGCCACAGTGAAGAGTTTAACAGAATAATCACAACCAAAGAACTATTCTTAGATCATATTTTCTAATGGCTGTTATAGAGCCATAAATTATTTTTCAAAATTGTTATTTCAATATATCTAAAATGTGGAATCAAAAAGAAATTATCTGTATCTGCAGGAAAAACTTCAGTAGTAAAATGTAGATATTTTATTTCTGATCATATGAATCAAAACTACAGCTCAGGATTTTAAGTCACGGTTTATCATGACCTTCTCTTCATATTGCATAGTATGAAAACCATTGAGGAAATTCCAACAGGAAATCACTACGTGGAGTCACAACTAGGCTTGTCCCAGCACTAATACCAGCAATGCACATAGTCATTAAATTAGAGTGTACTCTGGTACATCAACATATCCAAATGTGCATTGTACACATAGAGAGAATTGTACTATCTCAGAAGCAATCGACAGCAAGTTATATAGGCAAAACAGTTTTTATCTGATCCTATTTGATACATGTGGTTCGAATAAAATAGTATGCTTGCTGCCCACCAAATCACCTTAACTCTGCCCTTTTGACAAAATTTGCATATTAGCCAAAAATGTTCACTCCCATTTCATTTGTAGTTTAACCCGTCAAGATGCTGAGCACAGTGGATGGACACAACACTTAATGTATGCTCAAAGTTATCAATATGTGCTAAGCTTTTTGTTATATTGAGTAGAAGCGCTCAGCATCTTTCCCAGTTGCGCTGCTGGCATCTCATTGTCAAACCAATTGTTTGTACAATTAAGGATTTTTGTAATCATGGCTCTGTTTTTAAAGGTATGTTGTATCTGCAGCCAGTTATTTTCTAAGGGATATGTGTGTGTGGTTCAGTGTCTCAGGCTGATATCCCTGGCAGTTTTCATGGATTGTGTTCCTAGTGAACAGCCCCTTCTCCCCCCACTGCAGTTTCTAAAAGTTTTGTTCCTCATCTGTATCCAGAAGATGTTTAAATATTCTGCACTAAAGGAAGCTATAAGAACAAAACATCTTTTTTTCATGTGGCTAACCTCTTCTCTTGTCATTGCTTTCCTTTCACTTTTGGGCTGGTTGACAGTTAGACACCTGTGTATAGGTGGCTGATAGTGTGTTTAGCCAGTGGCAGGAGTTTGCCAGTGAGCAGCAGTGAACTGTGTTCCCACACATGAAGTTTATCTATTCGTGACTTTGTTGATTATGTTTTTTGTGTAGATCCCAGGGTGGACAGTATTTGTGAGCAAGTGGTTCAGTGAAGAACAGACTATTCTGGCTTTTGTTGAAACCCTTTTTTATGGACAGAGAAGGTAGTCACAGATGTTATTACATTTCACGCTCGCATCTCTACAAGCACAGCTGTAAGGCTGTTCTGGTGTAACAAGCACTTAGGCGAGTAAAGGATGAGTACGCACGTTAAGTGGGACTGAATGAAGACTGTGTTTCTCTGCACAAGTAGTTGCTGACTGGTGGCTGTGTAGCGTGCTTGACATAACTTCATTGTGGCCTCTCCGGTGCATTCACACTCTGAGCAGCAGTTGTCGGTTTTGGACTCTCTTCATGGTTGAATGGCACCATGTTCCTGTGTCAGAATAATATCCCAAATAAGGATGTCATTTCTGCCCTTTATTTAAATCCATCTCTAGTTTTCCATCCTGTTTATTCAAAGTGCATTATCCCTTGGATTGAGACCTCTTCCAGTCTCTGGCATTGGTACAAGCCACTAAACTCCCAGCTCGAAGGAATCATCTCTCCAAATGTTCCATCTGCTCTTATAGCACAAAAGCTGTACCCGCCTCTTACAAACTCAAGCACAGGGGAGGACAAGATAAATGGCCAGGAAGCAAGCTGTCCTGACTGAGACAACTCAGAATATAGCTCTCAAGAGTCAAATGCTAGTGGTGGGAACTGGTGGGACTCTAGAGACCAGTGATGGAAAGCCAAGCAGAGGGGTGACAGGGCAGCTGCTTAGGCTACTAGAAAAAGGAGATGTTTTTCAGGCATAGTGGGAAAGAGATGTCAGGCAGAGGGGAATTGAAAGCTTGGAGTAAAGAGGATGGGAGAAGGGCACATGCAGTATGAAACGGGCCAAAAGATGAAGCAAGGTCAGGCATGGGACTGGAGTGGAGCTGAGGCACAAGGATGAGAAAGATGCAGTGGTCAGACTTGGTTTCAGAAAGGAAGAGAGCACAAGTGGGTGGGAGGGGTGAGTTTAGGGATGTAGAGCAGGATGGGAGATGGTGTTAGCTGAGGTCTTGGGTAGGTTAGAGGTGAGGAGAGAGGGAAGACACAGGGAAGCTGGAGGGAAACAGGGTTTCAGTGATGAAGGTAAGAGAATATGAAAAGCATGATACTGGCATGGACTGCAAGAGGCATGAATATCCCTGGAATGAAAGCACTTTCATGTTTAAACAAGGCTGTCTGTGGCGCCTTCAGAGAGGGGTCCACTCCTCATCCCCCAGCAGAGCAGACTGCCTTGTCACCGGTCTGAGGGAGCGCTCTCCCCCCCGGCTTTACTTGCAAGGCCTTGTGCCAGCCATATCGCTGGGACAGATTCAGGACTCCTTCTTCCAATTCTGACACGAAAGGAGCATGGACTGGTGGTGCACTGCTTGCAAATCATATGTTCAACCTTCCTTAAAAAGTGGATTCTCCTGCCTAGCCCAGGTCTGGGTTAGGCAGTACCTGATGTATCCAAGGAATATAACCTAAAATTGATCTCAGGTCTACAGGCCTTCACTTATCCACCATAAACAGCGACTGCTTGAAATGTGGATGCCAGGCATGACCTGTGACAGCTCCTTTCCCTTCCTGCAGGTCCAGCTGGCTGAAATGGAAGCCTTATCTCTCAACTCAGACAAGTCCTCTTCCATCCTTCTAGGAGATGAGTCAGACAATCGCAGCACTTCTCAGCTGAGTCCTAAGGAGATCAAGGTTAGCCCCAGCCAGTCGTGGGCATGTTGCACCGTGCTCTGTATTTCTGCCCCTGCTCATTTGAAGTGCTCTGTGTTTATCCAAATGTCCCTGCTGAGGTATATTAATTCTGGTCAGTTTTCAAGAGCTTCTCTATAGAAACATATCGTGGAGAAGGATTTGAGGAGAAAAAGAGAGATGTAAGTTTTTGAAAGTTCTTTTCGCTCCTGTCAGTAACTTTCTCTGAATGAACCTAAATTTAGGGGATTCGGGCTGGAAACCTGAGCATGTCTTCCCTAGCTTGAAGGCATCTTCAGAATCAGCCCTTCCTGAGGCTTTTACAAGTCTGCTCTGTCATTTGCCATTAAATTTCACAAGTCTTTGTCCTCACTTATTTTTTTTCCAGCAGGATGGCCAGGGCAGCCCTGACTCCAATGGGGTAGGTGATCTGGGGGAATGCCTACTCCCAATATCCAGTGCAGATGGCTCTACAAACCCAGACAGTTACCTGTGTGAAATGGAGAAAACTCCTTTCAACTCAGTCGAGTCTTGGTTAAAGCATGAAAGCACCAAAGGTGAGCATGGCTCTCATAATTTTCTAGGTCTGCTGAAAGTGTGGGTTGGTTCAGCTCATCTGCCTTTCTCCTGCCTTCCCCCTGCCAGGAATAGAATTAATGTGACATGGGGATGCACTAACCAAGAATTAGCTTTCAGTATGCCAGTCTTCGGGAATAGGGTGAGGAGCAGTTCCTTCTTTTGCTGCTAGATCTTATATCCTCCCTCAGACTTGCCTGTGTGAAGTATCATAAAAGAGCCGATTCCCATTCACAGTAGTGCACCCATGCATGGTCAGAGAAGAGTGGGGACAGACAGCCCTGACCAGCCAGCTGGATGAACTGTGCTCACTTGGCATGGTAAAACATTGCTGCCCCCTGAGACCAGGCTTCTCAGGTACAGGTTCAGGGAATGTAATACGTGTCTGCTCTCGGTGGAAGTGCTCCAGTTCTACTCTTGATCATTCTCTGGCCTCCTGTGGTCCTCAGGTTTCCCAAATCACCAGTTTATTTATCTCACTTCATCCCTTGCCTTGCAGGATCTGGGATGAAAGTTCTCTGGCAATGATATATAGTTGAATCAAGGCCTTACAGCTCAGCATTTTTCTGTGAGAGCAGCAACAGAAAAGGCAAGCTGGGCTGTTGCTTTATGGCTCTGAGCTGTGTTAGATCTTCCAGGTCTGGCACAGATTTTGGTCCTTGTGTAGAAAGCAGGACCCATGGTGTGAACACCAGACTGAGGCTTCTTGGCCAGGAACATGTGTTACTAAATATCCTCCGTATACTGGACTTGCAGGAACCTTGGTGTAACAGCAGCAAAGGCACCAAAACAAATTGGAAGACTCTTCAACTTCTTTTTTTTTTTTTTCCCTGTTTCTGTTTTCCTCTCCATTTATTTTGGTGCTTTGTCAGTCCCTTCCAGCCCCTTCTCTCCAGGTCCGTCTTGCCCTCTGTTACCTGTAACAACAGAGTTTTTCCACCCAGCCATCTCTGCCACCCAGACAGGGCCTGAGAAAGCCTCATGTCCACGCAGCCTTCCTAAGATCTCTCTGCAAGGCTCATGGGCATCACTGAGATCTCCGAGTGTGAACTGTTCACTTCTCCACCAGGTGAGGACCTCCGCTTCCTTATACTGGGAAAGCTTGATCTTCACATCACACCAAAACAGAGGGGGCTGAATGGGGAGGAGGGCAGAGGAAGGAGAGAGGCAGCTGTTGTCATGGGCTGGATGACCTCTGGATCTAGCCTGTTGGAGGAGCACAGTGGACTGCAGAGTGCAGGAAGGAGGAGAGAGGGTTGTATAGCAAAGGGATGTTGTATAGCTCTCGCCCCCTGAAATCGTATGTTCTGCTTTGGATCAAAAAATAGTTTGACAGCTACAGCTAGCCCCACATGAAGATAAAATCACATCACCTTTTAGCTCACCCCTGGTTCTTCTGCACCAAGTGCATAGCAGACGCCTGCATGCACAGCAACCGGAGTGTGAGCCAGGGAGATGGCAGCCACACAGCCTTCTCGGCTCCTCATAGCACCATGACTCTAGATCATGCACCTTCTTGGTTGGAACAGGCTTCTCCCCACCTGCCTTCTCCAAAGCCCTTCGTGCCACATCCACACACCGCATCCCTGAGCTCGCTGTTTTCCCCTGCCTAATTAGCTCTTACATCCCAGAAAAGTATTTCTGAAAAGGCAGCTATTTCTCACTAATGAAAGAGAAGAATAAAAGTGTTGAGGGAAGATCAAGTGTCTCTGAAGAGCAGAGGAGGCAGACATGAAAGTCCAATAGAGATCCCTCTCATTGTTCTTGGAAGATACTCCATGAACAATTCCTGTTTGAGGAGGAGAGGGACACTCTATTCCAGACAAACTAAAAAAAAAAAAAAAAAAAAAAAAATCATATGTTATTCGGTTCTGTGTGACAGACACTGTTGGCACAATACAAATGTGTATAAATCCACCAAGGATAAATTTAGCCTCATGCTGAGACCGCTGAGTTGTTGCAGTGTTGAAACTTCTGGTGTTAGTTTAGACATGAAGAGAGAGCTCTGGAGCTGGCATACCACTGGGGCAAAAGTACTGAACTGTTGTAAAGGAGAAATTGGTAAACAACTGGTTGATTGGGTGATGCGCAGGCTGTATTAAATAGCTATGGTTCAACCGACCGCTTCCAGTCCTATATGCATCATTCCCAGTGCTGTGTCCCAGTGACGATCTCATAGAACAGACCAATTTCCTAGAAACAAATGAAATGCAGATTAATTAACTGAGCCCCGATACAAGGAAATTAAG